AAGAATTATTATAAATAATAAAGTGATCAAAGAAATTATGTGTATTTTAGTGTCTTTGTCTTTTTTAACCAAACAAAAATTCATGTTAATCAAAGTTTTTAAATAGATAACTTGAAGATGTCAAAAATTTGTAAAGGAATAAATTAATTTAAAATAATATTTGTTAGTGGAATAAACTATGCATTGATAGTTTAAATATTTTTTGATTGTATTCCAAATATTTTTAATATGGCTCAGAAGATTTTCTATAGTGTTTGAACATAACATTTGTATATTATATTATTCTATTAATTTGCTTAATTCTTCGACACCAAAACTAGCCTTTTTCTAAAAAGAACAAATGGGTAGAACGTCCTTTTTAATATTTATTCATATTGCAAAAGACCCTCTATAAGAAAGAGCATTACAGTGTTGTACCATATTTTGTGGGAACCATGAGGCATAAAGTACTTGAAGTTGGTTGGATGTCTTGTGGAGAGGCGGGCGGAAAAGGGGAGGGCAACCCTGCCCCAACTTATCTTTAAGCCACGCGCTAATTTGAAAATAATGCTCCCCAATCATTTCCACATTTTTTCACATTTCCAGGCACCTCAGCCTTCTTCGCGATCGGCGTGGAGTGAGCAATAAAAGCAGGCAGCCCCTTGCCTTTTGATTGCTGGCTGGCCGGCCCTCCCACTTGTTGATTGTCTGTATAATTACATAATATTGCATAATTTTGCAAACAGTACTCGGTCGCTTTGGGATTTCTGCTCTGTTAGCTACGTAGAGTCAGAGTCTCGGAAACTCAGAAACTCGGAGTCTTTGGGGTCTCATTATCGTCGGCTGACCGACGATCTTCTTCGTTTTCGCTTTCAGTATCAGTGCACAATGTAGTACTTAAATAATAGAAGTTTAATAGCGTTTTGTTTGGTGCCGGCCGCATTTGCAAGTCGTTAGTTTCTGCCAGTTGCTGCTTCTACTATTTACTATTTTTTCTCTGTTTTTGGACTACTAATGCATTCAGCTGTAGGATTTTTGTCAAGGTTATCCAGTTGGCTGTGTTAGCGGATATAATGACATGATGCATACGGTGGAAGCCAAAGTCAGCATCAATTTCGGTTCTCTTGTTTTTTTCCCCTCAAATGATTTTTTCTTTTTCGCTTTTCGGGAGGAAGTTCAGTTTTAAGATCGGTGTAATTGTGTGTAGTTCGTTCAAGTTCGCTGCCTAAGTCATTTGGCAAGAGCCTAACGAACTTTGCAGAACTTTTCTGCTGGCTGGCAGAATGCAATGTGCAATGTTCCCTCACATGGCTTAGGGGCTTTGGACTGGCTAATTTCGCTCATTAATCATCGAGCGGCGGCTGCGGGAGAAAATCGCTCCGAAAACTGATTACACATGTACGGCCCACCAAATCAAAGTTGTACCAAAAGGCTCAGCCACATGAAGCCATCTGTTCCATCCCAGTGAAATGTATCTGCAAACAAATGAAGTTGTCTGCCAGCCAACTCATTCCGATTCTAAGGCTCCTCACGGGCCTTCTAGTAGAGTCATCAAGTCCAGGATTGATCATTGATCTTTTGGCACTCAATCCTCCGCCTTCTCCTCGTCTGCTCACGAATTATAAATAGTGCAAATGCGTGCAGTGCATCATCATCATTAGTTTTCGGCCAAAAACCATGGCAATAGACTTGTCTAAAGCCTTGGTCTAGTCTCTCTGTTCCTCCTTTATGTTGCCCTACAACTTGGTCTGGCAATTATACGAATCCATGTGTCTGACTTTAGTTTCGTTTGCTAAATTGTTTCAATTTATTTTGTGACTGGCATAATTGCTGCAGCAGGGTACTTCAATATTTTGATTAGACGTAAGTGTATATGCAAAATGTAAAATAAATAATGTTGGAAAACTAAAGGACTCGGTGCAGAAAGCAAAATAAGTCCTTATACCCGCTATAATTCTTATTTACCAGAATGTTTTAAGTTTTTATTATTTTTTTTTAAGATTTAGCATCGTTTTAGGAAATTAAAACGTTCAGATAGATTGTTTTTTATATTTTTTTAAAATGATAATAATATAAGTATGGTCACTGATATATAAAATAAATTGTAATTGTAAACCATAAATTTTAAAACGACAGCAATTAAATCGATATTTGTTTATGTTTTATAATTTCAGTATTTTAATTTACTTTAATGTAAGGAATGTCTTTACTAAATTATTCTGCAATAATTTAAATTTCATTAATCTTAATAAAGTTGATTTTTGAGAGAGTATTTTGCCGTCCCCTTTCAACCCATCGACTCCTGCCTATCAAGTTCGTGTCCTAAGTCTTTCGTTTCGTTACGTTTTGCGCTGCAAGTCAGGCATTTTCTAATTGCAAGTTAATTTCTTGTTGCGAACATAAATTTAACATTCTAATTGAGTTATCAACCGCAACATGTACATACACACGCCGAAAAACAACCGACAGGCGAGGAAGACGAGGATGCGGTGGTAAAACAAGTAGGAGAAGGAGATGCCGACGCCGGACAACTTTTACAGCTTCTCATCTCATCGTCCTCAAACCGTGTTCGCTTTGGTTTTTCGCATCCAAACTGGCTACGCATGTGAAAAATTGCCTACACATGAAGCCACTGAGCTTGTTGTCCGCTCCTCTCCTCTTCTTCAGCTGGCTGCTTTTTCCGACCACAGAAAAATCGCAACAAAGCCACAAGCGTCCGGGTAAGTGCAGTAATTACATTTCGGTGTGTGTAAGATTTTGGGCCTTTGCTAATTTGCCTGCTGCTTCTGTTTTTCTTATTTAGTTTTGGGCATTTATAACTAATTTTTCTCCCGCCTTCTGCGCTGCCGTTGAAAGAATTCTCCAACGTGGAAATATGCACTTTGGCATGGCTCGTAATTAATTTACTTTGTGTGTTTGCCCGCTGGCAGCCGCAAAGGAGAACGACACACACAAAAATATGAAAAAAATCCATTACGCAAATGTTTATGACCAAAATGGTCAGCGTCCGAAGAAGCAGCGGTGGCAGCAGCCTCTTCATCTGCTGCCAATGCAAATAGAAAAGATTTGCCAAAGCCCCCAGATGCGTGTGCCCCAAAACTGAAGCTGCAGATGGAGACTGGAGACTGGAGGCTGGAGGATGGGAACCGAGTTTCGGTCCCGGAGTCAAGTGAGCTTCTCGCACATACATCATAACATTGTAATGCATTTTCGACCGGCCCCGCCTCGCAACAGCCCCCCCCCTGGAAATTAGTTTTCTTTTTCCGTAGCGTCGTGTCATCAACGGGATTTTGGAGGCGTGATTGTATCGAAGGTCGTGGCAATATGGAGACGTTGCAAGAACATTAAAATCCTCGAACATTTATGGCCAGCTAATGCAGATTTGTGTATCTTTCTAATAGTGTATCGAGCTTAAAGATTTCATTAGGAGAAAATATTTTGTGGATTTTTTATAGGACTTGCATGCTTGCAAACTAATGAAAATGCCCTAGAAAATATAAATGTACTGTGGATATATTTGATCAGTTCATACAAAAATAAGCACTCATGCAAAAACTACCGAACAAATACAAGTAGCTGTCTCCAATTTAGTTTTATAAAGTGATTTAATTAAATTCAAACTTCATTATTTCAAGCTATTTTTTATCTTCATCATCCATAGTAACTTGATACGTCGTTATATTAGGATTATTAAATATTGGAGTTTATTTTTATTAGTTTCTAATATGCATAAATAATTATTGCTATTCATATAGCAGATACTTTTTGCGTTTGGTTATTTTAGAGTCTTTGCAAATTATAAAAACATTGGTTTAAATTTATGTATATGGTTTCTTAATATTCGCTCCGATATATTTTCATATGTGAAATTGGATATGCGTTTAAGTCTTATTCCATACGTACGCCAAGAATGTGGCCAAGAAATTATTTTCAGATCCCCAAGTCTCGTTCAGTGGAATTTCCCACCCGTTCCCAGATCGTTTCATATTCATAAATTTATTAGCTAACGCTACCAACTTGCCGCTCGAAGACATCGTTTTCAAAAGTGGCCCAAATTCGAGCCGCTGTTGTTGCCTTCATTTTAATCAAACATTTAGTTTATCGTCTCACATTTCAACTAATTAACACTAGGACGGGACCGCCTCTTTTGGCTGTGAGATCTTCGACTTGGTTTATGTTTTTGGCTGGCTCTCGACTTAGCCAGCCTTCTTCTGTGGATCTTCGGTGCCGGCATTCGACTGATCGACTAAACGAAAATCAGCTTAAAATCATAAAAAACGCACTTAAATAAAATTTAATATTCAAATATTGACATTTAGTGCCATGTTAGCAGCAACTTAGGTGTTTTCTTCGCCTTCTCTCTCTTGCCCATATTTTTCGAGCTGCCCTCCTAGACAATAAGCCTTAAATTATGCATGTGGATTGCTCGAGAGACGACGCAATTCGCTTAGCATTAACTAATTGATCTGCATTAATTTCAAGCCGGGCCTCAAGACAAAAGACAAGCAGGTGAATCGTGTATGCTGGAAATACTCGACGTAGTTCGTATTTGTATTATGATTATTATGAGTTTTTTTCTCCTATTAAAATTATGACATCATTTAAATATTTTCGCCGTTGTTAGCCAGATTTTTGTGTAAACTGGTTTAGGCTACTAACAATTTTCGTCGCTCTTTCTGTCGCTTTTATTGTTTTTGGCCAATTATGCATGCCCCAAACCCCATAATTCATAAATACATTTTGCGCCCAAATTCGAAAATGCGGAAGCGCTTTGATTTGCTGATGCCTTTGGGGCCATATCGTACATATCTTATCAATGCTGCCAGATTTTCAACGCACAAATTGTCTTGCTCTCTTGTCGCATATGAAATTATTAATGTCATAAACTTTTTATGGCTTTGATCAATATTTAGCTCGTAAAATATTTATTTTTATATTTCTGTGTATGTTATTGTTTATTTGACTCAAATTTTTTGAATAAAGCTACCATACAATAAAGTCGATATATGTGAAATGCTTACCGCATACGGATTATCCTGATTCATCATTATGGTAATCTGGTATTGCTGAACTCAATGTGCTCAAACGGAGAATCTGCAAGAAAAAATTGGGATACTTTATTAATTTCATAGTTGTAATTACAAAATAATTTTTATTTTTGTCAGTATTACATTTTATAAAATTGAATGGTATCATATAATCATTTATTCAATCATCATATATTGAAAAGCTAATTGATAAGTATTGTTTGTCTGCAATCTCTTAAGGCAGTGGCCTAGTCTAGATATTTTAAATTTATATAATACTGTGACCAGTGGATAAGTATTTTATTTGGTGGCCTTTATTATAAAATATCGCTTAATTTAATCTGCATTCGCTAGTCAAAGCACAAGTTGAATAATTCCCCTATTTAGGAACATTGGTAAAATGAAGTTTTCATGCTCTTATGTAGTAAAGCTAGTACAACATTTTCACAAAAAAATGTCTTTCTGAAATCACCATAATTTTTCTTAGCTGTTATTTGAGCCGCACACATTTAATCGAGGTCTTGCCTTAAACTGATTGAAGATTCGCTCCAAATCAGCTTGGCGTTCTGACATTTAGCCAAGTGAACGCTGCCAGCTAATAACAATAATAATAATACCCATAATAATATCGATATTTATTGCGATGCAAATGCTGGGGAAGTGAGCTGCTTAGCTGCACCTAAAAACGACCGGCGAAGACAATCAGCTGCCTCACATCAGCCAGAACAAGCAGACCCCCAAGAACCAGCAGAACCCCCAGAACGACTCTGTAGCGCCGTGAGTCACCCTCCATTCAGACCCACTCCTGGGCAGAAGACTCGGCCAGGTCGGATCCCCGCCTTCCGCCCCCCGAAACGAGGTGGCATGTTAACTGACAACAGGTGTTTGCTGCTCGCCGTCCGTCTTGCGGCCTGCTTGCCACATTTGCATTTGATATTTCGCAAGCTTGTTTTGCTGACGCTGTTAACGCGCTCGTACTAAATACTTTCACACTTTGTCCCCGCTCTGCTCTCCTTTCGCAGCGATTGTGCTTTTCCGGCTCGGACCCCTTAAGGATGTTCAAGTCAGCACACGACCTTGATGTGTTAATTTCCCAGCCAACTCTTGCCAGTCACCCGTCCAGGTACACTTAAAAAAAGGACCACGATAGAAGGGACACCACTATGAAATCTATTCCTTACTGAATTAGCATGTTTCATTTAATAATACAAAAAATAGTCACTCATGTCGTTTTCAATATATTTAAGACATGATATGGGTTGGTATATCTATGTAAGATAGAAGGTATTCAGTTTTATTGGATTTTTTTGCCGCTTTCTTAGCTAAATTAATTGAAAACTAAATATAATACATACAAATATTTATCTAACAGAAAATAAAAGGGATTTCATTCAGTCAGAATTTTACGACAAATTTATAATGTTGGATGTGCCTTCTCACCATTTGCTTTTATTGACGAGTTTCGTATTTTTTATCAGTTTTTTTCAAGTGCTCTGGGACTAAGAAATGAAGTCAGGAAAAAGGCTTGGGCTTGTGAGCAAAACCAAGCTGTGAAGTAGATTGCCCTAGCTAACTAGAATAAGTGCACACTCTGCGACTTGTAGAACACAGCAAACTTACAAGGCACTTGCCATAAGTACGAGTATATGGGGTCTGTCAATATTTACGACAAATGCAAAAGCAATCCAAGTTAGATTCTTCATTTGCCTGCAAGCGAGTCAGGGCAAAATGCACTTGCAAAAAATTGCAATGAAATAGATTTGCTGTGAGTTGTGAGGCAAATGTTTAAGAATATAAGCATTTATTAATTGAAATCGATTAAATCATCGTAGATCCGTAAACGTTTTAATTCTTAAAATAGTTGTTATTAAAATAACTCCTTGATATTGGTATTCCAAAGACTGTTTCTTTGGCCATTACCCATGATTGACTTTATGATCTTAGTCGACCAGACAGCTAAAGCTTTACACTCTGGCACTTTCCACTTAATCATTTTATTGTCAACTAATATAATTTCTTTCAGTGCCGCAGTTAATGGCATTCCCATGGATCTTGCCAGGGTTTTCGAATTTTTGTAACAAATATTCTGGCAAATAAAGCTTTACACGCTATTTGCATTATAAAGCAAACATGTGCGGCGACTATATCTGGGCAGCCATCTCGCTCGCACTTGACTTACATTGATTCTGTTATATAGTCGTAAAGTTTATTTGCCCTGCCCTTGCTTTTGTTGTTGTTGATCTAGCCATGTTTTATGGCCACACTAAAAAGTGCACTGGTCAACAAAGCGGCGAGAGAAAACTTTCTCACCAAACTGTAGAGCTTGGGCTATAGCTTCCCTGGACTGTCGTATAAGTGTCATATAGGGGAGTGTGTATATGGTTTGTATAATTAAATCATACGAAACCCCGACAGTCGCAGACAGTTCGTCAGTTAGTCGGATTGTCAAGCGTTATCTGCCATCGCCATCTTCCTTTTGATTTTTTTGTTTTATGAATTCTATTCGTTAATGAAATTCACATGTTCCCCATCTCCAACTCCGATCCCCATCTCTATCCCCGTTTTAATGTTCGCATGATGGATGTGTCTCGAAAAAACTCTGAAATGTTCGTTCCGTTTCTTCGATATCTGTAGCCCTTTTGAACCTTTGAACTTACCTGCTTTTACTGGCTGATCAGCCGATCAAGTTAATCCAATTTATTTGCTTAGTGTTTCTATTTTGTTGCGCACTTAAGGTTTGCTTTTCCTAACATTGTGAACTTTCCATTTAAGGTTTGTGTATTTTCGTGTATTTTCCGTTGTTGTTTTTGTTCTGCTTGCTATTATTTCTGTTCACCTTGCGCCAATAAAACGTCACTTGAGCGTATAGAGTTGTTGCTGTTTTTGCTCAAATCGCACTTGACTTTTAGAACTTTAGGCGAGCGTGAAGCATGTTTAATATATATCTAGACATATATCTTTTGGGTTTTGCTGTGTGTTTGTGTTTTTGTTTTTAGCAGTAGTATATATCACAAGTAGGTATATTTTTCATAATTATGATTTCTTTATTTAAATAAAAAGTTTTTGTTTATTGTGGGTTTTAATATCATTATTTTAAGGTTTTATTTTGAATATAATTTTATTTGCGATTTTTGAATGATTTCTGTAAAAAACAGCAAGTTTTTTTATAGAGTGACCACACCTTTGTGTAAGGGCACTCCTGGCTGCGCACGCGCGCTTGCCCTGTATTTCTTTATTTTCCGCTTTCGTATGCCGCTTTTTACCGCTGTTTATGGTGAACCGATGCACACTTTTGTGGACTGATCTTCAGGTATTATTTGAGAATTACTATTTTTATTTATTCCATTTAATTATGTGCCTGTTTCAGCTTAATTTGCATTTGCTGATTTTAGCGGCGGCCAAAACAACGTAACCCCTGGGACGTAAGACGACGCAACGACGACGGCGACGTGCGATCGAGCGTGCGAGCAAGAAGCGCGAGCTATCACTAAAGACTGATGTTAAGCAGTTCTGCAAAGTGCTCAGACCTCTGCGACTCGGCGACTCAGATGCTTTGCAATATCATCCGACGAACGCTCGGTAGCAAACTGAGTTGAGACTTCGGCTACCAGAGAAGTAGCAACAACAACAACGACATCCGACTGGGGAGATGATACTACTATAAACAAAAACTACAAACTGGTCGAAGAAGCAGTAACAGAAACCGAAACAAAAACAAAAGACTGCAAAAGCGACAAACTCGAACGCTGATCGAGTGCGATTGTGTGTGTGAGGAAGAAGACGATTCCGATTCTCTCTAACGGTTGATACAACCGAACACTCATCCCCCGAAAGAGAGACAGAGAGATAGAGAGGCAGAGTGAGTTTTGAGACTTGGGAGAGCTGCTGTCTGTGTGAGCCACCGATTGAGTGATGTTAACTCGAATTGGAGTCGTTTTGGGTATTGAGTCGTACTCATAAACGTGAACCTAGCAGAATTTGAGTAAATTTATTCCGGAAATAAAAATGTTTATTTTATTGATAAATATATTTCTTATTATAACAAATAAATGTAAATGGTAATTTTCGGAGTTAAGTAATAAATAAGGGTCTAAATTATGTAAAACAGCTTAAGTTTTTACCTTTATATTGTAAATACATATTTTGTTTTGGCAAAATTAAAATGTAAAAGCAGTTTTTCCATTTTTTTTTAAAAAAAAATGTATACGGTTTAAGTAACTATAACCTTTGTTGATAAATGTGTTTGTGCGTCTACACTATATGCTAATTATATTTCATTTGTAATAATTTACTTAATATTTTTACTCATTATAGAACTCAAAATCCAAAATGTGTTTTTCGTTTTAACTATCTACTCTTACAGTTAATTGGACAGATTTGGTAATGACCTTCTTCACTATTTGCTTTCTATTTAAATATTTTGGTATTATGTAAAAATCATTGTTTTCCACTTTAACTTTGAGTGTTAGATCATATTATTGATAATAGATATTAATAATTGTCTATTTTAGATATAGTCATTTAAATATAAATAAAATAATCAAGCTAATTAAAATGAGAAAATTATTTTTAAACTTCAAATTTTGCAGTTGCTTACCTTTAATATTGCACTCACTCATTCTACACGCTCTCTCACCATTTTGTACGGCTTTTGAGTCTTTTTTCACTCAACTGGGACGCACACACGCAAACCAACGTGGACATATCTACTCGAATTCGTTACCACATTTGATTGGCTCGATTAACACAATCGGAGCACCGTTATAACCAGTATACCCACACAGGCAAGCAAAGGAGAGAGCGGCGTACTCATCCCGTCTCAAAGAGAGAGCAATCCACCAACACTAACGCATGTGACCGCGCTCCAGTCGCCGTCGTGTGTTATAGATAAACGAGCCGATCCCGTTCGCCGTGGGCGAAAACGAGACCGGACTATATTGCCGTCGCCCGTTTATCGGCCGGCTATATATACCGGCATATATGTTCTCGTTTCGCTGACCAATGCAGAGCAGCTGGCTGAGAGCTACCCATACAAACGAGAGCGATCAATGAGAGCGATCACTCACACAAGCGCACCCATCGAAATCGTATTAGCGGATGCCGGTGGGCGTGGTCTATCGATCGGGGGTATTACCCACCACCCACCTCCCCAAGGCCCCTTTGAAATTTTTTTACTCGCTGCGAACTGGATTGAAAGTGCGAGTGAGAGGCACTATGGGCTGCAGAAAGAGAGGGGAGTACGTAAGACCCGAGTGATGGAGTTTTCCTAACGGTCTGTTTCTTTTTCTGATTTTTTTTCCATCTTCCACTAGTTTTTTCGCCCGTTTGGCAGTTGTCAAGCTGTCATAGTTTCGATCATTAAATGCGATATCTGTTGATAGCCATAAGACATTTTACGATATTACTAACATTGTTGGCTGGCGCCCCCTAGTGCGAAAGAGAGACTAACTCGGGGAGCCGCCCGATTCCAGATACCGTCAGCGGGATTAATGTATCATAAATAGCTTAGTTTCTGCAAGTTATACTCCAGTCGTATGATAATAGTTAAGTATAAATTATAATTAGCCATCTTTATGTCCAAGATCTACAAAATTGAATAGTTGCAGTGCGGCGGCTGCATAATATCAACTGATTGCTAAATAGTTGCCATTGGTAGTACCGGCCATTAAGCAATCTATGAATATTCATATCTATAGCTCTTAAAGCGGTAAGTGCTTTGCGGCAAATAACGATATTTGCCCCTTTGGTGTATTACAAATAGATACCTATTAAATGGAATAATTTACATATGTTGGATCAGGTAACTTGTCTAGAAACGGCTAAACAAAGAATCTCGATGAGTCTATATTTAATTAATTAGAATACTTATAGCAAAGAAACATAAAAAAAATTGATTGCATCAAGTTTATGAAAAAATCGTATAGAAGCGTTTATAAACGTCAGACATATATACGTAGATAAATAAAACTTGATGTTTTTTTATTTATATTCAATATACACTTTTTAATAAACATACATATTGAATGGAATTGGTTACAAATTGTGCGTTCAATCTCGACTAGAAATGGTTTAGCAAATTAGCTTAAAAAATATAACTTCTTTGAAATCGTGAATGTTTACTTATATCCGCTAACAAATTATTCCTAATTAAATTATGCTTAACGATTTAAATCATTAAATCCTTATATCCTTTCTGGCTGATATTTTGTAAGAAATATAATTGGTTTTATTTTTAACTCTACAGAATTATATTTTGTTGTTATTTTTCCATTTCCATTTATGCTTTTCTAATGATACTTCTAATTCTCAGTATTGTTTCATTTGATTTTAGACAATTTCCACAACAACTACCCTATTTGCTGTACGAAACGCTTTCTTAATGAAATATTTTACAGATGTAAGTATTTTTCTTGGCATTTAAAAATGGGCGTGAAGCCAGCTTAGATAGAGGCTCAATACGATTTCTATACTAATTTTCCCACTTTTCCCGGCTTTCTCCTTGCGCATCGTCTTATCCCATTTTGACTTTCGGCTTGAAAATGTCACAGAAGTTAATCCAATTTGCTGTTTTACGACAGGGCACGGAAACAGAGAAAACCCGCAGCTCGTTATCATCTTGTTGCCTCTCGTTGGGAAGGGTAACCCTTTTGCCTTCGGTCGGGAACCGCCTCCGGTTCTGAGGTTTTCCTTTAGAGGAAAATGGGGTGTTTTAAACCCATTACAAGGGCCCTTACCAGAAGCAGTTCGCTCTTCTCCTTTTCCTCTTGCGGTTTTCCGATTTGCGGTTTCCTTTGCACCCGCACTCTCAGCCGGATACTTTTCACAAATTTTCACGCTTTAATTTTGGCTCCTGGCATTTGCATATGGTTAGAGAGAGACGGGGCCAGAGAGGGAAGGGGATAGATGCAGCCTGCTAATCCTTGGTGAGCAACAGATTATCCCCGACAATTGTTTGTTCTTGATTTGTTTGTTATGGGTGCACAGCCGGGACTAAGGACTGATTCTCAATTCCCGTTGCTTTCTTTCTATTATACTACACTCGAAAAATAAAAGGGTTGTTTTTAAAGAAAGGGAACATTCCCCTTATTTCTTAAAGAAAACCAATTATTTTATTAGTTCATAGTTTTACAAAATTGGTTTTTTAACTCAGCGAAATTTGCTACAAATAAAACAAATACTACAAATAAATAAAAAATTGTCTGTCTGTTTGTGACTGCGAATTCGCTTTGGAATATTTTATTACATATTTATTTATTTATTTATTACATAGAAAGTAAGAAATTTTTTAATATTCCTTTATATCTAAATCAATGTTCCTTTATCGAATAACAGCTATAAAAACCGGCTTAAAAGAGATTTTATTCATTGGTATCTATTAAAGCATGATTAGTAGTAAAGCATGATTTTTTATTTTGAAAAAACTCTATACACATAAGATAAATCTTAATTAAGAGTTGAACTTATTTAATTAAGTTTATGAATTTTTCGCAGTGTTTCTTTTCACGAAAACGCTGCCTTACAATTGCAACAATTGCAGTGAGAAAGGCTCGAGGGGTTTCCTCGTTCGCCGCCTTTCTTTTCCTTCGCTTTTCCGCTGCGGGCCTCGCCCCTTTCTGGTTACAGTTTAATGCGTTCTAATGTATGTGACTTTTGCCAGGATTTTCTCGTTTGCCATTTGCCGCCGTTTAAACTGGAAACTCAAGTGACTTGCAGAATGCAGAATCGGTGAATTCGGAGCGGAATGTGTATGAAAACGGTCTAAAGTCGTCCTGACAATCGGCCATCATCAATCACCCGCTCGATTTGTATTCCGGCCCAGCATGATCGGGCCCCTTTCGATCAATATAAATATTTCTGCTGAAATTAGGTTACAGGCAAATCGTATCCGTCCGCATGAGGCATCCAGTTTCGGCTCAAATTCAGCTCCAGTTTCAAAAAAGAAAAACTTATGTCATGCCAGGCTACCTTTATTTCAGTTTGAAGTCTGTGCATACAATAAATTAATTATAAATGCATTAATCACTGCCAAAATCAACAGTAACCGGAGCTGTATTTTTTTATATTTTTGACAAATAGTGACATGAGTGCTCGTTGTTCGTTTCATTTCATTTGGATTTCGGTTCGGTTTTTGGTTCGTTTTTCGGTTTGAGCTTGGTTTCGGTTTTGGTTTTGGTTTTGGTTCGATTCATTCTTTGAGGCGGCGCGTGAAATGAAAACAAAAATTTAAAACACGTTTTCGCGCTTATTTCTGACTAATTTATGCGTTCGATTTGAATTCGCCTCGTTGTTGAATCGATTCCGATTCGACAGAATTCTGTCTTTAAAATACTCTGGCACGTCTGGGGTATTGCTAATATTAAATAGTGTTTTTAATTTTTATGAGGAGTAATGAAAATGATTTATTTGTATATTTCTGAAATATAGTTCATATGAAAAAAAGGAATGAAACTGATTTTAAAAGTTTTATTGTGTTTTTGTTGACTATACTTAACATTAATTAATCTTCACTTTCATCACTCTTATAATAAATATAATAAAGTTTATCCTTTTTTAATTATAATTATATTATACACTTTGGTTTTAAAGGTCAATTATGATAATTTTAAATAGACCTTATAATACCTAATATCT